AGGTCTTACATTTAAGTCTTTAATCCATCTTGAGTTAATTTTATTATAAGGTGTAAGGAAGACATCCAGTTTTAGCTTTCTACATAAGGCTAGCCAGTTTTTCCAGCACCATTTATTAAATAGGGAATCCTTTCCCCATTGCTTCTTTCTGTCAGGTTTGTCAAAGATCAGATGGTTGAAGATGTGTAGTATTATTTCTGAGGCCTCTGTTCAGTTCCATTGGTCTAGATATCTGTTTTGGTACCAGTACTATGCTGTTTTGGTCACTGTAGCCTTGCAGTATAGTTTGAAGTCAGGTAGTGTGATGCCTCCAGCTTTGTTCTTTTTGCTTAGGATTGTCTTGGCAGTGTGGGCTCTTTTTTGGTTCCATATGAAATTTAAAGTAGTGTTTTTCCAATTCTGTGAAGAAAGTCAGTGGTAGTTTGATGGGAATAGCATTGAGTCTATAATTTACTTTGGGCAGTGTGGTCATTTTCACGATATTGATTCTTCCTATCCATGAGTATGGAATATTCTTCCATTCGTTTGTGTCCTCACTTGTTTCCTTGAGCAGCGGTTTGTAGTTCTCCTTGAAGAGGTCCTTCACGTCCCATGTAAGTTGGATTTCTAGGTATTTTATTCTCTTTGAAGCAGTTGTGAATGGGAGTTCACTCATGATTTGACTCTCTATTATTGGTGTGTAGGAATGCTTGTGATTTTTCACATTGATTTTGTATCCTGAGACTTTGCTGAAGTTGCTCATCAGCTAATGGAGATTTTGGGCTGAGATGATGGGGTTTCTAAATATACCATCAATTCAGCTGCAGACAGAAACAATTTGACTTCCTCTTTTCCTAATTGAATACCCTTTATTTCTTCCTCTTCCCTGACTGTCCTGGCCAGAACTTCCAATACTGTGTTGAATAGGAGTGATGAGAGAGGGCATCCTTGTCTTGTACCGGTTTTCAAAGGGAATACTTCCAGTTTTTGCCCATGCAGTATGATATTGACTGTGGGTTTCTCATAAATAGTTCTTATTATTTTGAATTACATTCCATGAATACCAAGTTTATTGAGAGTTTTTAGCATGTAGGGATGTTTAATTTTGTCAAAGGCCTTTCTGCATCTATTGAGATAATCATGTGGGTTTTGTCATTGGTTCTGTTTATGTGATGGATTATGTTTATTGATCTGCTTATGTTGAACCAGCTTTGCATCCCAGGAATGAAGCCAATTTGATCGTGGCAGACAAACTTTTTGATGTGCTGCTGGATTTGGTTTGCCAGTATTTTATTGAGGATTTTTGCATTGATGTTCATCAGGGATATTGGCCTAAAATTTTCTTTTTTTGTTGTGTCTCTGCCAGATTTTGATATCAGGATGATTCTGGCATTATAAAATGAGTTAGGGAGGATTCCTTCTTTTTCTATTGATTGGAATAGTTTCAGAAGGAATGGTACCAGTTCCTTTTTGTACCTCTGGTAGAATTCAGCTGTGAATCCACCTGGTCCTGGACTTCTTTTGGTTGGTAGGCTATTAATTATTGCCTCAATTTCAGAACATGTTATTGGTCTATTCAGCGATTCATCTTCTTCCTGATTTAGTCTTGGGAAGGTGTACATGTCCAAGAATTTATCTGTTTCTTCTAGGTTTTCTAGATTATTTGTGTAGAAGTGTTTATAGTATTCTCTGAGGGTAGTGTGTATTTCTCTGTGATCGGTGGTGATATTCTCTTTATCATTTTTTATTGTGTCTATTTGATTCTTCTCTCTTTTCTTCCTTATTAGTCTTGCTAGTGGTCTATTTTGTTGATCTTTTCAAAAATCCCGCTCCTGGATTCCTGATTCTTTGAAGGTTTTTTTTATGTCTCTATCTTCTTCAGTTCTGCTCTGATCATAATTATATTTATTGTCTTCTGCTAGCTTTTGAATTTGTTTGCTCTTGCTTCTCTAGTTCTTTTAATTGTGATGTTAGGGTGTTGATTTTAGATCTTTCCTGCTTTCTCCTGTGGGTACTTAGTGCTATAAACTTCCCTCTACACACTGTTTTAAATGCGTCCCAGAGATTCTGGTACATTGTGTCTTTGTTCTCATTGGTTTCAAAGACCATCTTTATTTCTGTCTTCATTTTGTTATTTACCCAGTAGTCATTCAGGAGCAGGTTGTTCAGTTTCCATGCAGTTGTGCAGTTTTGAGTGAGTTTCTTAATCTTGAGTTCTAATTTGATTGCACTGTGGTCTGAGAGACAGTTTGCTGTGATTTCTGTTCTTTGACATTTGGTGAGGAGTGTTTTACTTCCAATTATGTGGTCAATTTTAGAATGAGTGCGATGTGGTGCTGAGAAGAATATATATTCTGTTGATTTGGGGTGGAGAGTTCTGTAGATGTGTATTAGGCCTACTTGGTCTAGAGCTGGATATCCTTATTAATTTTCTGTCATGTTTTCTGTCTAATATTAACAATGGGGTGTTACCGTCTCCCATTACTATTGTATGGGAGTCTAAGCCTCTTTGTAGGTGTCTAAGAACTTGCTTTATGAATCTGGGTGCTCTTGTATTGGGTGCATATATATTTAGGATAGTTAGCTCTTCTTGTTGAATTGATCCCTTTACCATTATGTGATGACCTTCTTTGTCTCTTTTTATCTTTGTTGGTTTAAAGTCTGTTTTATCTGAGACCAGGATTGCAACCCATGGATTTTTTTTTTTTTTTTTTTTTTTGCTTTCCGTTTGTTTGGTAGATCTTCCTCTATCCCTTCATTTTGAGCCTATGTGTGTCTGCATGTGAGATGGGTCTCCTGAATACAGCACACTGATGGGTCTTGATTCTTTATCCAATTTGCCAGTCTGTGTCTTCTAAATGGGGCATCTATCCCATTTACATTTAAGGTTAATATTGTTGTGTGTGAATTTGATCCTGTCATTATGATGTTATTTTGCCCATTAATTGATGCAGTTTTTTCACAGCATTGATGGTCTTTACAATTTGGTATGTTTTTGCAGTGGCTGGTACCGGTTGTTCCTTTCCACGTTTAGTGCTTCCTTCAGGAGCTCTTGTAAGGCACGCCTGGTGGTGGCAAAATCTCTCAGCATCTGCTTGTCTGTAAAGGATTTTATTTCTCCTTCACTTATGAAGCTTAGTTTGGCTGGATATGAAATTCTAGTTTGAAAAATCCTTTCTTTCAGAATGTTGAATATTGGTCCCGACTATCTTCTGGCTTGTAGGGTTTCTGCTGAGAGATCTGCTGTTAGTCTGATGGGCTTCCCTTTGTTGGTAACCCAACCTTTTTCTCTGGCTGCCCTTAACCTTGGTGAATCTGACAATTATGTGTCTTGGGGTTGCTCTTCTCAAGGAGTATCTTTGTGGTGTTCTCTGTATTTCCTGAATTTGAATGTTTTTTCTCTCTCTTTGTCTCTAATGTTGTCTTCTCGCTTTATTTCATTAATTTTATCTTTAATCACTGATATCCTTTCTTCCACTTGATTGAATCGGCTATTGAAGCTTGTGTATCCTTCGCGAAGTTCTCCTACTGTGGTTTTCAGCTCCATCAGGTTATTTAAGCTCTTCTCTACACTCCTTATTCACACCCACCTGTATGAGGTATCTCTCCACCCCTACCGGGCAGTGTTTTTCAGTCAAGCTACACGGGAGTCATGGGCCTACTTGAGGGGGTAGTCTGTCCGTTATTGGAGCTCCAACGTCGTGCTGGGAGAGCCACTGCTGTCTTTAGAGCTGTCAGGCAGGGACCCTGAAGTCTGCAGGAGCTGTCTGCTGCCCTTTGTTCAGATATGCCCTGTCCCCAGAGGTGGAATCTAGAGAAGCAGTAGGCCTTGCTGAGCTGCGGTGGGCTCCGCCCAGTTAGAGCTTCCCTGCCGCTTTGTTTACACTGTGATCATAGAAACGCCTACTCAAGCCTCAGCAATGGAGGAGGCCCCTCCCCCTACCCGCCCCATTATGTGATGCAGTTTCCCTACCGCCCTCTCCCCCTTACCCGGCAAGATCTAGCTCCAGCGGAGGATGCTCCAGGGACAGCGATGGTGGGACTGGGATGCAGGGGCTGCCTTAGAGCCTGGATGCATGGGGTGGCGGGGTGTGAGGCACCGGGCTGGGGTGCACCGCAGGGAAGAACGCCTGGGTTTGGGATGCTGCCGGACTGGGCGTCCCAGAAACCGGGGCAGTCCCCTACCTTATAACTCTCGGGTGACCTCCAAGGTGGGCTTGGCCATGGCGACCGCCGCTGCTGAGGCTGCTGCACAGGAGCCCCCGCCATATCCCACATCCCCACCGCTGGGGAGCGGTGGCACATGCTAGACTCGGCTGCAGGAAATCCCGGGCGCTGAGCGCTGCAGCAGAGGCGAGCCCGCTCCAGACAGGGTCGGTTGCGTGAGCGCTCCCACCCCGGGCCTTGGAGCTCTGGCTCCCACGCCCGCCCAGAGAGCTGCCGGACTGAGCATGCGGGCCGCGCTGCCTAGCCTGCTGAGACCCCACGCGCTGGCGCCGACATCTCTCGCCAGCTCCGGCGTCAGAGGCCTAGCGTGCGTCGCCCAGTGTCAGTGTCTTCGGGCGGATACAGCGTCCCCACTTTCCGTCTACTCAATACTTGGGCCGTGGGCAGAACCCATTTCTTTTGTCTGTCTACCTGGGTACCTTGCAGGGCGTTTCTCTATTCCCCACCGGCTCAGGACCCGTCCAGTTTGTCCTTGCTGACTCGGGAGGGAACTGCCCGGAGGGGACGTGGCCTGATCTGGGAGGCAAGGGGCAGGGAGGTGTTACAGTTCATCCTTCCCCACTCTCGCCCGGCTGGCCCTGCCTTGGGGATCCCCGTGGCGTCCTGGGAGTTCCCGTGCCACCTTCCTTCCAGTTGGCAGCTCTGCGGACACCTCCATCCCTGAACATCACGCTCAGGTCCTGGAGACAGGGAGGAGGGCTGGGGGATCCAGAGATCCAGCCTGGCCAGACTTCTGCTCTCTGCTCAGCTAAGCGCCCCACACTGAGAAATGAACACGTTGATTCGATTCAAAGTCGCGCAATCATCTGCATTTTATTTGCCCCTAAATTACAAGTTGTTAATTTGCAACTCTGCTCCCTCCACTCCAGGTTCTTTCTCTCCCATCACCCATCAAATTCCCCAGTGGCCCGGGCAAAAAATATCTGTTGGTCTTTGCCAAGGTAGACTCAGCCTTGTCAGCAGGCCTGTCCTGTGTTCTCAGGGGAGGCCTTTACCCAAGGCCACAACAACGGCAGGAATCCTGAGTAAGACGCCACCTTGACTGCAGGGAAGGCTGCATCTTTTCACAGGGCAGTACTGATTTTATGAGGTGAACAGTAGGGTGAGCAGAGGTGGGAAAGGCCAGTGGATGAATGCAGGAACAGCACCAGGAGCTAGAGCCCAACACTGCCCCATGGGCTGTCTCCAGGTCCTCAGAGGCGGGACGGGGTTCCTCCACCCCCCACCACTGTCTCCCCAGTGATGTAGCTGGCATCTTCAGAGCACAGGAAAGACACGATGCCAGCATAATCCTCTGACTCGCCTAACCTGGGGAATAGGAGAAGCAAGGAAGGGAGTAAAAATCAAACAGGTCTCCCTCCCTCACTCGGCCCACAGGGAATGAAATTTGCTTAATCAAGAATTATCAGGAACAGAAAGGGAAGAAACTGCCCGTCCTCATGGCAAGAGAGTAAGGATGGAGAGACTTCCCTCTTTCACTTCCTATTTCTTTTTCTAGCTCCAGCTCTCCCCACTGCCCTCATGTGTTTCATTTGTTTCAGGTTCTAGTGATGCATTTTGCTGCATCTCTCCAATTCTCATCCACGTAAGGAGAGAGGAAACAGTGTGAGTAGAGTCTGAATACCTCAGTCTCCACCCTATACCTCAGGAAAGGTGTGATTGGAGTCTGGCTTGGAAAGGGCAGTTGGTACAGAGAGGGAATATGGAAAAGCCCAAGGAAGGAGAATGGAGTGGTTGAGAGTTCAGGAATCAGGTACTGGGCTTCCCTGTCCAAGAAGATGGATGCCTTTCAAGGGGTTCCAGTGGGATGCAGAGCTCCCCTTCCTCACTACACTGCAGAGGTGAGTCGTGATAAGTCCAGGTGCTAGGCAGTTCACCCTAATGTTCCTTGGGGCCAGCGCTATGGCCAGGGTCTTGGTGAGGCCCAACAAGGCTGTTTTACTGACATTGTAAGGACTGAGGCCCTGGAGAAAGAAGAGAATGTGTCAGATTCATAGTTTCCAGGTCACTCTTGGTTCTAATTACTAGATATAAAGGGCAGTGCTCAATAGGGATCTCCTGTAAGGGAGGGGCACAGTTAGGAAACTGTCCTGTGGCTAAACCTCCCCTAGGTTATGGTTTGTGGAGGCAAGGCATCTATTTTATGGGCAGGGACTTGGTGGTGTGATTTTAAAAGGAGACACAAACTTCTTTGGGTAACAGGTGGGGTGGAAAGATGTACAGAATGGGATGGAAGGGGCAGTCAAAAGGGTTCTTACAGGAAATGGACTGAAGGCTGCTATGGAGGCCACGATCACCACTGAGCCGCCTCTGGAAAAAGAAGAGAGTTGACGGTCTTCCCATTATGGACCACTGCCCTCAGCCCGTGTGGGGTCCCATCTCACCCAGGCTCTCTCTCACTCTCTGTACCCTCGTTTCTCCATTTCTGGCACCACTGCCTTTGTCATCAGGGCTGGGGCCTTCACATTAATGTCCAGAGTCTGAAGCCAAGAGAAGAAGGGGAAACAGCGTGAGTGAAGAGCACTGGAGGAGGCATGGCAATGAGGAGTGAGATTGGGTTCCTAGGATGTTTGTCAGAGCTGACGAAGATCTTAGGATGATATACCTGCATCTTGCACATGAAGAAACTGAGGTTCAGGGAGAGGTAGCTCTCACCAGCTGCTCAGCTATATAATGATACATTAGGTTCAGGTGAGAAAAAATGGAGCCTGGTTCATCTTGTTTCATGACCAGCCAAGTATGATCTGGCCCAGAAGGGGCCTAAATCCTCAGGGCTCCTTTGGATTTGAGCTGTGTTTTCTGTGTTTCTTCAAAGTAGGGAGAGCCTGCAATTGTCAGCCTCCTGGACCTGTCTTAGAGTGGGCCATGCTTCTCAGAGAAAATGTGGCCTGACCTTGGATACCTGGGGTTGTTCTAGCACTTCTCTGGCTTCTGTGCTTAGGGAGTGAGATGCTCTTGGCCCTCTAGGATGGACTGCCTGGCTAGACCTGATTAGAAAGTGGGATCGTGAGGAGGCACCTTCTGGGGAAGCTGGGAGACAAGCTACAATCAGAATCCCCACATCCATAATCTAAAACAAATGCATCACCCCTGTTTACATTGTTCTAGACAACTGCTTATATTAAAATATTTCAATCTTACAGAAAAATTGGAAATAGAACTACAACGAGTATCTAGAGATCCTTCACTTAGATTCACCAATTGTTCTCTACTAAAAATACAAAAATTAGCTGGACGTGGTGGCGTGTGCCTGTAATCTCAGCTACTTAGGAGGATGGAACAGGAGAATAGCTTGAACCCGGGAGGTGGAGGTTGCAGTAAACCGAGATCGCACCACTGCACTCCAGCCTGGGCAATAGAGTGAGACTCCATTTCAAAAATAAATAAATAAATAAAAATTAAAATAAACAAACTTAGTTGCAGATACTAGAATGCTCTATCCCTAAATACTTACCATACATTTCCAAAGAGCAAGGATGTTCTTTTACGCAACCATCATCCATTATCACACCCAAGAAGTTTGACATTGATGATAATTTTATCTAATATATTGGCCCCAATTGTCCCCCAAATGTGTTTTCTAAAAAAAGTCCAGAGTTCAATCAAGGATCAGGCATTATGCTTGGATTTGATGTACTGTGATATTTAAAAAATATATATAATCTAAAAGAAAAGTTACAGGTACACCTTATTTTATTATGTTTTGCAGCTATTGTGTTTTTTACAAATTGAAGAGTTTTACAGATGGAAGGTTCATGGTGCTAACTGGAGCCATTTTTCCAACAGCATGTGCTCACTTTGTCTCTGGGTCACATTTTGGTAATTATTGGGAATATTTCAGACTTTTTCATTATTATTATATTTGTTACAGTGATCTGTGATCAGTGATCTTTCATGTTTTTATTATAATTGTTTTGGGGTACCACAAACCACACCCAGAAAAGAAGGTGAACTTAATCGATAAATGTTGTGTGTGTGCTGACTGCTCTGCCCGTCTCCCATCTCTCTCCCTCTCTGTGGGCCTCCATATTCCCTGAGACACATTTACATTGAAATTAGACCAATTATTAACCCTGCAATGGCCTCTAAGTGTTCAAGTGAAAGGAAGAGTCACACATCTTACACTTTAAATCAAAAGGTAGATATAATTGAGCTTAGTGAGGAAGGCATGTTGAAAGCTGAGGCAGGCTGAAAGCTAGGCCATGTGCACCAGTTAGCCAAATTGTGAGTGCAAAGGAAAAATT